ACGCGTGACCTTCACAGAGGCCGCACCACCGGACCGCGACTGGGAGAGCGGACGCTTCCCGGGCCGTGGGTCCATCAGGGACGATGGACAATAGGAGGGGGGTAATGTCGTGGAAACGACGAGACCCCTATATTTTTCCGCATTTTTCCTTATTTTCTACGGCCATTTGTACGATACTTAGACTTAGAACCAGTAGTTAGAAGCATGTGACCAGTCACCTGACCCCCACCTGCAGACTGGCACTAATGTGCGCACAGACCGCCGTTATGTTTGTACATGTTTGGCTCCCCTGACTCAGTATATAAACCCCACCTGTAGCGACCCTAGCCCTCATCTTGACCTCTTGGTCCTTGGGCTAGGTAAGCCGTCCTTTGTATTCTCTTAGTCAGCATAATATTAACTTGGTCCTTGGGCTAGATTTGACTTGAAAGTCTACGCTCGGCGTTAGCAAGCCTTCGCGCTCGCCGCCCTTGGGTTAGATCGTATTAGTTTCTTTGTTGTAGGCGTTGCCTGGTCGCGTCGAGTCTAGCTCCGCGACAGTGGTGTATGGACAATCACTGACACATATTTATTCAGAAGTGCGAACTACAAAACTACTCTTCTTCACCAGACACGGACGACTCGTCGCTGGAAGAGTCGTCCATCTCGTTCAGCCACTTCAAGTCAGCCTCAGGAATCAGGACCTCCGGAATCTCGAGACCGAAGATGTTGACGGTCGGCGGGCACAGCGGTGCGTTGTTGAGGATGCGAGAGCGATCAGTGCTCTTGGACGCCCATGTGTCACTGATGCACTCTTTATAGATCTTGTGCTTGGAATCGCGATGCGGCTTCGTGCGGGCGTTGGCCTTAGGACCGCGGAACCGTTCCAAGAATTGCCAGCTGTTGGCGTAAACGGTGTGGCAGTCCTTCGAGGCTGCAATTACCCTGGCCAAGTACTCGGCGCGGAGTGCCTCAGCAGCAGCTTCGCTGTCGGACCCTGCCTCCTCCGGTCCAGCGGCGGTGACAACAGCATCGTCGACATCCTCGCAGTTGCGCACGAAGCGCGCGAATACGGCAAGTACGATGTATAACATCGTCAGCTGTGTTTTCTGACATATCAGCAGGTGTCATGCCATGAAGAGGATTTTTGCGCACCTTCCGGGAGCGCCACGTCAGCGGCCGCACCTCCAGCGCCTTCGGCCCAACGCCCCAGTCTTCACGACACTTCTGTCGTTCCTCAGGGTCCGCATCGCCGTCCGAGCTGTGCTCCTCGCTTTGCCACGGTGTGGCGACGAGCTCGTCGATCCCAGCGGTCTCAGGCTCCCCGAAAGCACGTCGGAATGCGGGGATTCCGACGCGGAGCGTATCGGCCTTCTAGAAGTATGGATCAGCATATGCGTGAGGCTGGTGAGTGCGAGTGGTTGCATACGTACACGGTGACGGCGTGAGCGATGCATATCCTTGTCCATCTTTTTCTGACGCTTTTCTCCAGCATCCGCATCGTGATCAGCAAGATACTGGCGCTTCAACGTGTTGAAGTAGACGACCGTAGCCCTCTTGATGAGCTCGCCGTCTACCTGCGCCGGCGATAGCTTATGCTGGGCTGAGGATAACGATCGAGTAAGTCAGCACCCTGTCTGATGTGTGAGATGGAGATGGACTAACCGGCGTTCGTCTTCACTAGGCTGACGGTTGCTTCGACTAACTCGTCATTGACACCCACGTCTACGTCGTCCTCCCACTCCGGATTGAAGAGAGTGGTCAGGTCTGGTGCCTTGCGCTTTGCGACACCGACCGGAAGCGGATCCGGGAGGATGTAGGCGCGTTTGCGCCCGCGTCCTCGGCGCGCTTTCTTGTTCACGCCGATCAAGAGGCGGAGATCCTTGTGGACGGCGGTCTGTGATCATGATCCGTTAGTGCATATCAACAACATCGAGCCGACTACCTGTGCTTACCCTCACTTCCACTGGAACACTTTCAGCAGCGTCTGTGCGGTTCTCTTGTAGCCCGGCAAGCGTCTCCATGACACTTTTCTGTGTCTCCTCTATCACCAACGCCTTGATGTCCGCTCGAGTCATCGTCACCACGTCATCGCCGTTGGGGGTTACGGTAGCCTCAGAGGGTGCGATTCGGCTCTGGGCTGTCCGAAGATCTGGATCTATGTTCGCTTCACGGCCATGGCCGACTGGATCCAGTGAGTACGGTGATAACATGAGGGTGTGAACATGCTCACGAGACTCCTGTGTAGATGCTTGCAGCTGTCTATCGGCGTTCACCGTGCCATGCCCATCGCGGCCATCTGGGCGACCTGGGGGCATGTACTGGCCAATACCCGGTCCACCGGGCATCATGCCACGCGCTATCAATACATTTGAAGTGAGTACGGTTTCGATAAGGGCTACTTGCCACTGACCTTCGACCCCATACCAGCCTTGCTGAGGTATCGGACCGAACCCTTGCGCTGCCATGAGGGCGGGGTTATTCATGAAGCTTGCAATCATGTTCATATACGCCTGCCCGTCAAGGCCGCCCGGGTGCGGAAGTCCATGAAATCCCTGCGCAGGATACGGCCCTGTAGGATACGACCCAGGCGGCCACTGTCCGCCTGCGATGGCGCCGTTGCTGCCGCTGCCAGGCTGAGGCTACGTGTGAGGTCAGTCTACTAGTGCATGCAGGGCTGATGTGTACTCACAAGTCCACCGCTATCCGAACTCGGGCCACGCCCCTCAACGCTCTTGCCCTTTCCATCAGCGTCGACACCTTGAGGGGCACCTTCTGTCTCTGGGCCCGTGCGAGAAGGAGGGCGTGGGTCGACGGCTTGGCTGTCTGCACGAGGGGGTGGAGACATGGCGGAAGACGGCGGCTCAGAAGATCGGGTCGAAGTGAGTACAATCCTCACCATGGGGGAAGGGGTGTCGAATATCTGCTCGACGCGCGCTGACAGCTCTTTATAGCCTGGCCAGTCTCTCCCTCGTCTCCTCGGGCGTCGACCGCCGTCGGCTTCAAGATCCCGTTGAAGAGCCATCGGTGCGCACGGCCGCGCATGCACTGTCCCGCCGCTACGAACTTCCCGTACCTCAGGCGTGCGTACGTCTGCAATCCTCGTGTATCTACTGGCTGGGAGCTCACATTAATCTTTAGCCTGTGTCGGCACTTCCTTCCATGACAGGCTGCGACGGCTTGGTACCTCCGCTCCATACTTGCCATGTACTGCCGGGCTCGAGCAGGTTCGCTGGCCACACCGGACTGGTTACCCAACGACGAGCAAGGCACTGCACCGCGCGTCGGGATGTGGTGGCGGCCCCTGTATGATTTGCGTCATCATGGGTGGACCATTTCTTCGCCTTCCGGTTCCACTGCCCGCCGGTCTCTACTCTCAGAGCGGCGCCGTTCGCGCTTTTTGACGTATGTCTCTGATATTGGTGGGCCTGTACATATCCTTCATAGGTGCAATACTATTGGTTTTGCGAGCATTATTCTGTGCCGGTTCGCGTGCGCGGACGGCGGATGTACCGAGCTCGGCGATGGTTTCGATAAGCGCCCCGCAATATCCTCCAATCGCCCGATCTACTATTCCCAATAGCCAACGGCGTAGCATTCTTGCGACGAGAGATCTGTTGGTATGCGATGCGGGTCGATGGCCCGTCGACCCACATATGATTGACCGACGACCGCACATCTGACATAGGAGCGATGTGTCGCGTCGACACATCTCCCAACATAGCCGCCCTCGACGATTCGACATCGCCACTTAAAGCTATCAGGGTTCGTGGCACATAGCCACGGTTCGCTATCACAGAACGAACGCGAGGCGATTGCTGGTTATATTAGTCTGGATATGCAGCGACGCCGTGGATCTCCGCGCGTGGCGATCCTCACATATCCTGCGTGGGCTATTTGGGCGCTATCTCCCATCCTTGGGCCAATCTCACGCGAGTTCGATTTGCGCGTTCACGCGGTGTGTGCAGTGATCTGCATCCAGTATGGTAGTGGCGGTGCGTCAGTAAGATGGTGGTGGGTTGGTAGGACACGGGATGGGCCAGCGGCTATCGATGATGAACTTCGACTGCAACCTGCCGAGTGAGCCCGTCAGTCCCTGTATCGAAGAGGATGGCCGTGCTCACCCAAGCCAACCGGGGAGTATAACCGAAAACCAGTCCGGTATCAGGGAGATCCACTCAGTGGTCTCGGTGGTAGATGAGGTGCGTACCTGGGCCCCGAGGAAGAGAAGAGAAGTTCTGACCTCGTGGTGAGGTCGCAGAAGACTGAAAATCGGATATAGCTGAAGGATACTATAATGCTACGATTGGTCCGATAATCAGCCGAATTGTCCTCTCCTGAGTCCCCGTTATGGACGCCATGGTGCTACCGTGCCCCCAATGCCCCTAGATAGCGGTACTCAGTGCACTCGAGATCAGGAGCAAGAGTACGCTAAGGCCGAGCTCATGACTAGACCGAGGCACCGCTGAGTTCGGTCGGCTTCCTGTCGGTGAGGCGGGGGCAGTCGAAGCTGTGGAAGGCCCCGGTGCCGGTGGCGCACTTTTGATGTTAGGTGGAACGACGGGCGCGATCGAGGTGTTCGATTGTAACGCAAGCTGTAGAGATGGCATGTCAAGAAGGCTATACAAGCAGGCGTTGGCAATTCATACCAGTGCGAGGTGGCTACCAACGGTCCCCTGCGCGCGCGGGCCGATGGATGAGGCCTCTATAGTGTCGTACCAGTCGCCGAATGGTTGGGAAGTATTCCCAGCCGCGGCATACTTGCGAACAGCGCCGATCAACAGGTCACGGACAACGTTGTCGGAAAGGGTAGCTGCAGTGAACATTTGCCAGCCTGTCGATAACGGGTAAGCCATACGAGCGAAGCGTCTCCGGGAATATCGCTGATATCTCACTGGTGCTGGTGTACGTGTGCCTAGATAATGTTCGCTTTAGTGTACGTCAACACACATTTCAATCCAGAGGCTTACCTGCTGTCCAATGGTACTCCGTAGACGTCTGAACGGGTTGTAAAGGTAAGTCAGAGTACTTACTAGTACGAATGGGCGCAATCTACTCACTTGTGTGGTTGCTGTACCATTTGCTTTCTTCAGTAAAGAGTCAGTACGGGTTTACGACATTATCAGGAGATAAAAGGACTTGCGCAAGTCGTATACAGACTGCGGGAAGATGTTCGTGCCAAGCAATTTGTCGGCATACATGTTGTATGCAAGGCCCCAGCTACATGGGAGTCTAGTGAGCTTAAACCGAAACACCTGCATAGCGAGGTCATACGAACCTCGTGTTATTGCCGTACTGTGAAGGAGAATTAGGTACGACAACACCCGACCACGGCATATGGAAACTCACAGTCAGAGACAGGTGCGTGCCATCGGCAGCCATAGCTAGCTTCTCCCATTGCTGAGCGTACTGCGACGCTACGGTCTGCTCTCCAATGAGGATGTCACTTTTAAAGTCACACCAGCTTGAGAGGATGAAATATACGTACGCCGTAGCTCGAGCCTGTATTGCCCATGATAGCCGCAATCTCAGACATGGCCTTGATCCCAATAATGCCCTTGATAGCAAGATTCGTCTGGTTGGCGAGTTCGCCCGCGAAGTTGTCGGTACTGAACTGGTTCGCTGGCGTGAGTGCGTTCTGCACGAGATACTGAGCCCAATTGTCGAGGACATCGTACTGTCCCCAGCCGTCACACCAATAAGCGAAGAGCTATACGGAGGTAATTAGCGTTCCCTACGTATGTTTCAACCAGCGATGTGTCGTTAGTCCTCTGGGTGTAGCTCAACGCCATGATGAGCATGTTGCCGGTCTCTGACGGATCTCTCAGGTGAGGCGACTCCAAAAAATATGCTCCCGGAGAGACGTACCTTCAAGGGGCATGGCTCGATCAGTGCCTATTTATGGTGTTTAGTGGCAGGCATAATGTATCTAAGACATAGGAACTTGCCTTCGTTGTGACCTGTCGCATTAGGATATTGATTGCCTACCTGAGAATAAGCAGACCGATTATACACCTGAGGGGGCTTGACTGACCCATATCATGAACGGCCCACGCATTTGGATATTGACCCGAAGCTTGATACTCAAGAAGCGGTAGCAGTAATTGCTTTCCGAGGGTAGGAGTGGTGTAGAGAAAGAGCGGCCATGCTGGAAAGATGACGTCGACAGTATTGATGTTCTATAAGCAGGTCAGCTTGAATATGGTAGCATTCACGGTGAATGTACCCACACCGTCGCTTGATATCTCTACATGTGAACATTGTTAGTGTGAGGACCTTTCCACAACCTTGTACGTATGACCGGACCTTTCATGAACATCAGGATGTCAGATGTGTTGTAGTTCTCCGAGCCTGTTCCAGGTAGCGTAATCTCGGTGGCTCCAAATGTTTGCCTGATAGAAAGAGCGACAATGGAGGCGTAGTCGCTGGAGACTTTCGATGCATCCTGGGCAACTTTTGCGTCGAAAGCATTGGCCCGCACTAAAGCGTCGTTGTAGTCATTGAGAAATGTTGAGATCTATGTAGGTCAGTCATGCCTCACAATGATGTGAGACGTAAAATGAGCTCACCAATGTGTTGGCTTGCGGGAATCGTGACAAGAAAGCAAGACTTCGTGGTTGAAGCGTCCCGTTTGCTATGATATATTGAACGGCTGGATCGCGGTAGTGCCCGACCGAGAACACTACCGGCGCGGAGACTAATGCGTCGACATTTCCCAGGTCATGAGAGAGCGCAAACACAGGCAAGTTGTCCGAGACAGCGCGGAAGTTGCTGTCCTGCACGTTTGCAAGTACTCCGGAATTGATGAACTGTGATCGGACAACTGTATCCTGGCCTGACCGATATGTTGTGCCGTCGATCTAGACCATCTGTGAAGCGAAATGCGGACGATGAACTGAACAGTGTTACTTACGGTCAAAGTGGAATAGTAGGCAAAACCGTCTGGAGAAACAATTAGCTCGTAATAAAGCAGCATAAAGTCCGAAGGTACTTACCCTGCATACGATCATTAACTTCCGTGTATGAATGCGGCACGGCCAAGGAAATGCTGTGTGTGGTAATGTTCCCCGTAGTCATACTCCAACGAGCTTCTTGGTTATTGTCGCCGGTGATCCATTCCGCACTGATATCGGAATATATCTGGACGCTGTGACCTTTGCCATCGTTCGAAGCAGCCGATACAGCGAGGTATGAGAACGGGATTGACTGGTTCACAAAATCGGCGGGCTGTAATAAGAACAAGATCAGACAAGGAACTCCTCAAGTGGCGGTGAAAATTAACCTCAACGGGGCTGAGGAATGTGACAGTAAGGTCGACTGGGCCGGCCGTCATCACAAAGATACTTTGGGTGGATGTGATCTGTGCCAGGTCAGCATCAACAAGGAAAGTAGATCGAACACAGACACCGACATCAAGGCTCTTTTGCGTAGCCTTTGTGAAGTTCGCTCCGGCTGGCAGTCCATCAGGTGCTCCCATCCAGCTGTAGGCTACCCCATCTACTTTGGCTAAGCCTGCCCACTCGAGTATCTGACGTACTAAGATTAGTAACAAGTAGCACGTGTCATGTGCACCCTACTCACACTGCCGGCGGTCCAGAAAGAGGGCCAGGCATCGTTCAAAGCGACGCCTGTGCCGCCTTGATTGAGCCATACCGATAGGTAAGGGGATCGGACAGCGAGCGGGACCGCAGGTGGAATGAAGGGTGTCACCGTCCCAGTCGTAGCCGCTAGGACCGGGGCTACGCAGAAGCACCAAGTCGCGAAGGCGGTTACTGGGCGCATTGCGTTTCTCAGATGCGTGGAAGGAGGTGTATAAGAGCGGGATGCAGTGGTACTGTGGGGTGGAGCGTTCTGCCATACTAGGACACAGGGCTATATAGCGTCGCTGCAGCGCTGCCAACGAACTACGGTGATTTTGACGGTATGTAGCTGTCAATCGCTATCACTGCTGTCGCGTTGGCCAGCGGCGTGAGAGGGGGCGTTATGACAAGCAGGTTAGAGTAATGCCGCTTGCAGCTGGCGGCGTGTCTAGCGGTAATACACGCATGACCCGAGGCGATGAATACCACGTCTATCGCCACTGGGAGCTCCGACATTTGACAGATTGCGATTCGTCGGCGGTGGGTGCTTAAAGAAAATATGTCAGTTGTGGTACTATGGCGCTGCAAGATGTTGGACGTACCTCATCCGCTCGCGGAGCGCGTTGTGTATCATGGACGCACAGACCGCCGCTTGCGGAACGCGGAGTGTAGTCCTCTGGACGCGCAGACCCCAAGTTCTCCTGGGGCGTACATGCTGTACATGAATGCGCAAACACCCTCGCGACACCGATCTTCAAGGTATACGTACTTACTTATTTTGAGGTCTTGCGACGGAGCATACTGTACTAATCGGACCATAGCGGGGCGTCACAAGTCACAGAGGCTCCCCGCCCCGCTATTTCCCCGGCTGTCCTCAGTCACAGAGGCCGCCGCCGGCTGTGACATACGGATCTTTGGCCCAAATGGGTGTAGGCGCCCAAATTTTTCGCTCCCGCCGCCGCTCCGCTGCGGCGGTCCACGGTCACAGCGCGCGGCCCCGGAGCCCCGCATCGTATCTCACCTGTCACAGGTCACAACCGGGCCCGCTATGGTCCGATTAGTACAGTACTAGTAGGCGGGCTGTGAAAATTGTGAAGGTGTATGGCGGCCATGAGTGCTCTGTTGTCTGGTCGTCAAACATTATACTTTGTGTACGATGCATACAGCGAGGAGTGTTTACAAGGGAGGTGTGACGAAGAGATATGGTTTCGTGTACTTACTTGCGTGTAGCTTGGTCCCGGTCAGCGAACTTTTGATCTCCAACGCGTCAAGCTTTCGAAGTTTCGAGTTCCGGTGCGCGCTTTCGAACCCCACTACTTACTCTAGGTTAGTAAACTTTCCTGCTGTGATACGTACACTAGCATGTAACACGCATCCTTCACATCCTTAGGACGAAAGAAACAGAAAGAAAAAGAATTGTACTCTGCAGTATTTGACGAGTACTAGTGATCATGCATCATGTGCGCGCAGTTGGACGTCCAGCCCATCGTTTACGCCTGGTCCGGGCACGTCGCAGCTTCGACGAGTAGCACACCCGTCCGCCCAGCCTTTCATGCCTGCCGGTGCGGGGGCCCCTCATCTACCACCACAAGCCCACATACTTCTCTTCAAACAGATGCCCCCTTTGACAGCGCAAAAAGAGTGTGATGTAGAGGTACCGTGGGTACCGCACCGCACTCTGCCGGGCATGCGGTGTGCCAGTTACGGTGCGCGAGTGATGGGCTGGGGGTCCAGCGCAGGAAGGAAAGGCCTCACCGAGCTCATCAACGCCGGTGTCAGGGCTGGCGCTGAGTTTCACTGCCTTCAATGCCTCGCGGACGCTGGACCGAATGTTTCGGGCTGCGGCGCTCAGGAATGAGCGTGACATCTGCAGTTCGGCGTTTTGGTCAGGACCCGGCAGAGGACACCCGGGGTGACTGACCTCATATACTACATCCTAGATCTTTCGTACACCAAAGATCGAAAACCGCTTGCAGTGCTCGGGGTTGAGGGAGAAGCCTTCAAGTTCGACCTCGTGGGGCACCTCTACCTCGATAAAAAGGCTCGCGGATACAGGACACTCACGCACAGCAAGTGCGCTTGCTTTGTCCAAAAGTCTTGGCAGCTGGAGTCACAGAAGAGCAAAATTCGGTCAAGGTGGGTGGGGGATATCATGGTACTGCCGTCAACCCGATGACTCGCCGACGCATCCTGTCCGTGTTATGCTATCGTCCCTTGAAAGAATCTAAACTACAGCGTTCAGCGCACCCGAGATGAGGAACAAGAGCAAGTTTAGGCCGAGCCTATGCCTGGACTGAGGCACCGCTGAATTTGGTCGGCCTGCCGTCGCCGATGCGGAGGTAGTCGAAGTCGTAGTTGAGCCCCCCGGTGATGATGGTGCACCGCTGCCCTCAGACGCGGACGGGATGCTGGGCGCGATTGAGGAGTTCGATTGCAACGCAAGCTGTAGAGACGGCTCGTTAAAAGGGGTATGCAGACACAGGTTGACAAGCCGTCCATACTAGTGCGAGGTGGCCACCAACGGCTCCTTCTGCCCGATTGGTCTTCGACAGCGTGCTAGCTATTGTGTCGTACCAATCGCCGAGCGGCTGGGACGTGTTCCCAGCCGCGGCGTACTTGAGGACGGAGCTGACCAACAGGTCGCGGACGGCGTCGTCGGTAACCGTGGCTGCGGCGAACATCTGCCAGGCTGTGGACATCGAGTGAGCGGTGCGAGCGACGCGTTTCGAGGGACACTGCTAATATCTTACTGGTGCTTGTCAAAGTATTCCTGAGCAACATCCGTTTCGTCAGAGTCCGACGCTGTGTTCAGTCTATAGTCTTACCTGCTATCCAGTGGTACCCCGTAAGTATCTGGATGGTGTTCAAGTTAGACCTTGGGCACTGTGCATGAACGCGGTCCACTCACTTGCGTGACTGCTGTACCACTTGGTTTCTTCAGACGTAGGTCAGTATGGGCTAACAAGGCCACCGGAAAGAGATAGAGCTCACGCATGTCGTACACAGACTGCGGGAACACGTTCGTGCCGAGCAGCTTGTCCGCATAGAGGTTGTACGCAAGGGCCCAGCTAGGTTAGGAGTGAGCTTGTACCGCGATATATCACTCAAACGTGTGATACGCACCTCGTAGTATTGCCGTACTGAAAAATAAATGGGTTAGAAAGTATCTGGCCACAATGGGTTGCTACGCACATTGAGGGTCAAGTGCGTGCCGTCAGTGGACGTGGCAAGCTTCTCCCATTGCTGGGCGTACTGCGACGCTGTTGACTATGTTCGAAACAGGGCGTCATCTCAATTGTTTTCATAGAGGGGGGGGGGCTGAGCGTACGTACGCTGTAACCGGAGGCTTTCGCCGTGTCGCCCTGTATAGCCGCAATCTCCGACATGGCCTTGATACCGATAATGCCTTTGATAGCGAGATTCGTCTGGTTGGCGGATGCGCCCTCCCAGTTCTCCGTGTCGAATTGGTTTCCTGGTTCCAGCGCGTTTCTCACGAGATACTGGGCCCATTTGTCGAGGAGGGTATACTGTCCACAGCGGCGCCAATGAGCAAGAAGCAAGACGTGGCGATGCAGCGGTCCCTACGTAGTTTTCGATCAGGGAGGTGTCGTTCGTCCTCTGGGTGTAGCTCAGAACCATGATGAGCATGTTGCCGGACTCTGAGACATTCGTGTGAGGCAGCTTCTAACACAATGCTTCTGGTCAGACGCACCTTCGACGGGCATGGGTGTATCGGCGCCTGTGCACCCCGTTCAGTTTCGGGTAGGTCATAATTGAGAAAACGAACGTCACCATTGTTATGCCCAGTTGCATTGGGATAGTTTGAGCCTTGTAGAGGATAAGCAAAACAAATGGACGACCGACAGAAAGTCTGACTCACCGACATCGTGAAGAGCCCAGTCGTTTGGATATTGCCCCGTAGCTTGGTACTCGAGAAGAGGCAGCAGTAGCTGCTTTCCGAGAGTGGGGTTGATGTAGCAAAAGAGCGGCCATGCTGGGAAGATGGCGTCCGCCGTGTTGACATTCTGCAAGCATGTAAGTAACGTGGTAAGTTATGTCGCGAAGGATATGCGCTTACACCGTCGCTGCTTATCTCTGCATGCCACGTTCGTCAGCGTAACAATATCTCCATGACGAGATGACCGAACCTTTGTGGAACATCAGGACGTCAGACGTGTTGAGGTCTGTCGGAAGCGTGATTTCGAGAGCCCCAAATGTCTGCCTGACCGAAAGCGCGACGATAGATGCGTAGTCATTGGAGACTTTCGATGCATCCTGGGCAACTTGTGCGTCGAAAGCATTGGCCCGCAATAGAGCGTCGGTATAATCGTTGAGAAATGCCAAGATCTAGATTTATCAGCGATACCTCACGACTATGTTGAGTTGCATGTGCTTACTGCCTCATTGGCGCTTGAATACCGCGACCAGAACGCAAGACGCCGCGCTTGAAGCTGATTATTCGCCACGATATACTGAACGGCCGGATCGCGGTAATGCCCGATGGAGAACACCACCGGCGCGGAAGCCGCGTTGACGGCACCCAAGTCATGAGCGAGACCGAACACCGGCCAGTCGTCCGAGACAGCACGGAAGTTGGGGTCCTGCGTGTTTGCGAGTACCCCTTTATTGACGAATTGGGATCGTACGACGATATCTTGGCCCGATTGCCAGGATGCTGTACCGCTAGGCTGAACACGAACCGTCAGTCAACTCGGACGTGGCCGCCGATGTCTCCCATAGTGGTACGCACGTTCAAAGTGGAATAGTAAGCAGAGCCATCTGGGCCCATGGTCAGCCTGTAGTGCAGTTCCATAGATGCCAAAGACACTCACCCTGAATACGATCGCTGACTTCCGTGTACGCATGCTGCACGTCCAACTGGACTGTGTGGGTGATGACGTCTCCCATAGTTGTACTCCACCGTGCTTCTAGGCTATTGTCCCCGGATATCCATTCCGCACTGATGTCAGAATATATCTGAACGTTATGGTCTTGGCCGTCGTTCGAGGCTGCAGATACAGCGAGGTAAGAGAACGGGAGGGACTGGTTCACAAAGTCGGCAGGCTGTAATGAGAATGGAATAAGACAAGAAACTTGTCAGTCAGGGGAGTAAGATTGACCTCGACGGGGCTAAGGAACGTGATAGTAAGATCGACCGGGCCGGCAGTCATTACGAAGATGCTTTGAGTGGAAGTAATCTGTGGCATGGCGGTGTCAACAAGGGAAGGAAGTGCGTCTTCGCAATTACCGACCTGGAGGCTCTTCTGCGTGGCCTTTGTAGAGTTCACACCCGCCGGCAGCCCAGGCGTACCGAGCCAGCCATAGGCTACCCCGTCTACTTTGGCGAAGCCTGCCCAACCCAAAATCTATAGCGTCAAATTCAGTACATGCCAGACAAGTACGTTGTGCACATCACCCACAGTTCCGCTCCAAAAAGAAGGCCAAACGTTGTTCAAAGCGTTGCCCTTCCCTTGGTTAAGCCATGCTGACAGGTAAGGGGACCGAACGGCGAGTGGGACTGCGGGGGGAATGAAGGGCGTCGCGGTCCCAGTGGTAGCTGCCAGCGCCAGAACCAAGCACGAGCACCAGGTTGCGAAGATGGTAACTGAGCGCATTGTGAGGCGCAGATGCGTGGAAGCACACCGACTGAGCGGAGGATGTAGTAGTACGGTACGGTGGGTGGTTATGCGCAGGACCGAGAGCTATATAGCACGGATTCATCACTGATGCCAACGAATTGGGGCGATTTTGATGCATTGCAGCTGTCAATCGCCTCCACTGCCGTCGGGCTGACTAGGGGCGTGAGAACGGCGTTATGACAAGCAGGTTAAGCAGTGCCATCTGCAGTGGGATTGCCGTCTCAACCTATGTGTGGTAGTAGTGTTGGCTGCGACACGCGCATGCAGCGATCTTGAGGTGTGCGCTGCGCTGGGGTCAATGCCCTGTCCCTCTTTATGGACGGCAGACGGCGCTGTTGACAAGCGCTATGCGAGCTTAAATGAAGCAGGGTACGGCTTGCACGTCCCGGTAACTGACAGATCGTAGTCAATAACAGATTCGAAAGAAGAAAGGCAAGTTTCGTCTGAGCGACTCACATCTCGAAAGGTACCACGACGCACCTCATCCACTGGCGGAGCGCGCTATGTGCGAACACACAAGCACCCCGGAAACGCACCCCGTTCATACAGGATATCTCGCGGCAGCGGGATGGGAGGACACAGGCGGGCTGTGAGAACTGCGAACACGCAATGGCGGCGACATGGTTGCTTAGCTACGGCCTACCACACCACACCATGCACGATACTTCGTTCGGCGTGCATGCGACTGAGGCGATCTGACTGTCTGCCTTGTGGACGAGTTGGACGAGTGTGTGGATTCATACGTATGTCGAAAGAGTGGAAGGGGAGTCTGATGGGAGGAAGGGAGATGCCACACAAGACGCGCTCACGCGAGAGCCACGTGGCCGCATTCACGGGGCAGTTCGAGGCGGAGTCGACTCGCTCTCTCGCGCTCTCTCACACTCCGACGTTCCTCCAGCCAAGGACGCGCCGTCCTCCTTCCTCCCCACCATGGACCTCCCAACCCCGCGTGAGCTGGAGCTGGAGACCCTACTGCGCCAGCGCGACGCGCAAGTCGCAGAACTCACGGTGCGTACTAACACTCCGCACCCGATATCTTGTCCCGCTGAACTCTCGACGCGTGCCAGGATGAGGTCACTCATCTTCGCCAGTTCCTCGCGAATCAGCCCCCACCGTCGACCACAGAGCCGACAACCATTCCACCAGCGTTGATGTCCCTGCTCTTGCCCCATCTGAACCAGCATACATCCTCCGCCACATCCGGCTCGAGCACAGTCACGACTGCACTCGTGCAGAGGACCAAGATTCTCCAAGAAGAGAACGACGAGCTTTATGAAATCCTAAGGACAGGAGAGACCGGCAGATTGAAAGAGGACGTGCGCGCCCTCAGGCGAGTCGTCCAAAAGCTGGAGGGGGCGCTCAGAGGTGCGTTAAGCGCGTGTACCTTCAAGCAACGACGAGTTGACAGGCCGTGGTTGTCGCAGAGTCCCATCAGGTCATAGCCGGTCTCACGTATGTGCAGACTTCCAAGTCGCTGCGGCTATCGCTCACTTGTCCTCTATAGCGCCGAACTGGAGAAGTCGCAAGACGCGCTTCTTCAAGCCCACGGGCGCCAACCCCACCGACCTCCGCACCAGCCCTCCCCGGCACCGCGGAACCACCAACCTCCACCTCATCTCTCTATTGGTGCTATTGGTGCGAACGGGTCTGGCAAGCTACCACCCACAGGGCCACGCGCTCACAAAAAACCCCGTCTTTCCGAGCCCCAAATATCTCCCACCACATCAAATTCCCCTTTACCGATTCCTCAGAAGCCCCACCTTTCCGCAGCGAACGCAACCCCGCGAGGGGTCTCGCGCGATAGTCGCACCTCAGTGGACAGGAAACCCGTTGACGGGATTAAGATGGAGGTTGATGACGATGCATCTTCGCGCCTTCGATCCCCTGTGCGGGAGCGCGACCGTCCGCCTCATCACGATAGGGAGCGCGACAAGCGCGATCGTGACAAGGACCGGCCCAGTGACCGTGCTCGGAATCGTGATCGCGAACGCGAACGAGAGCGCGACCGTGACCGCGATCAGGATAGGTCTTCGCGCCGTAATGGGAACGGTGGTGGCGGTGGCGGCAACAACGGTGGCTCGGGAGGGGGCGGAGGCGGTGGTGGAGGCGGCCGCAGAGGAGGCCGACGGACAAATGGCAACAATAACAACAACAGTAGCAGCACCAACAACGACCACGGGAATGGCACGGACCGGACGTTGGCGGAGCGTATGGGACTGTAATCGGACATTCAGCACGGAGGTGGCATCTTTATATTGTGGCAGGCACGCTCAAGCCGCCAGCGCTTTCCGCTCTAGTATATACGGTACGATGCTCTCTCTCGGACCATGCAACGTCTGTATCAATATCGGTCTAACCCTTCTGTATTTGTTTCTCCCCCACAGTTGTACTCATACTACCACGTTCACGCTCTCGTAATGCTTTGCGGAACCGGAACCGATATTCTATCGTATCGTTTGTTGTATCTATCCTATCCTTCTACGTGCTCGTGTACATGACGACTGACGTATCTCACCGACGAGGGCACTAGTAGACCGATCTTCGCACTCAGGCCGTTGTCACCTTACCGGTACTCCCTTGCCGTGAGGCACACTCGCCGACATACTATTTACATCTCACTGGACTAGTTATGCCGCACATGTGTTTTGTAGCATCCCCCCGGACTCTTCTCTCATTCCGATAACGTTGTACAAGTATACGATCGTGACAGCAGACTGGACTCGCTTCCTGCACCACGTACTCCTGGACGTCGCATACTAAAGTAGTCATGAGACGCTGCTCATCCGCGTTCACCGTCGAACATTGACACCTTGTATGTTCCAGGGCATCCACAACAGAAGGCGCACGCTGCGTACGACAGCGCACACGGTCGACTACATAGCGCGACCTATATGCAGCAACACCCGGTTCCGTCGTACGCGGGATCTTCTCGATACTCTCCGAACCCGCACCCTAACTTAACCTTGCTTTTAATAGGTACGCGAACGCTGCGACACGCCACCTACATGCTGCGTCCATACCACTGCAGCAGGCGAACAGTATATGCCAAGCACGCTCTTCGCTCGCCTGCGTCGAACCGTACCAGCTACTTCGGGATCGCTATCGCGCACAATCACAAGCATGGCCCTCTCGACAAGTCCGAGGACCCAATCTACCTCCCCACCAGCAAGCCCGCCCGGGGAGCCTAGGTGGACGCATCCCAATCCGCTTCTCTGCAGACGCACCCGGTACCGTACGCACCTGCAGTGCTCTCTTCGCCCTACCTCGGGCGGCATGGACGCACGAGAAGTCCTGTCCGGCCCCTCCCTAACCGCCCGCCCGACCCCGCTGCTCGACACAGTTGCGACAGCCCCGCCCTATCACTAGCATCCCCCGCTAGCCATCCCGATCGGTGGTGCGTTCGGAACCTTTCTGGGCGGCGTCGGGGCCTCGCGCGCACGGGCAGCCACAGCCCTATGCCCGGGGGAACAAGCACGAACCTGTCACCTACCTCGGGAGACCTTGGGCTTAGGCAGGGGATCGGGCTGAGGGTGTATATCGATGGTAGTGCCACAGTCCACTAGAGCGTGCACGGCGCTCCGTCTGTGGCCTGAGTCCGAAGACGCCGTTCGGTGCTCTTCGGGCCCAAGGTCGCAACGCGAGCGTGGCGTTAAACGTGGCGTTCGTCGGCTCTCAGCCGGAGGACGCGCCGCGTTTGAGCGAGGGCGCGCCTCGCGGTCCTGTGGTCGAAACGGCGCGCCCACAAGGCTCAAGCCGAGGTCTGGCGCGCGAGGCAGCGCACGGAGCTGCGCCGCGGGACGCACGGCGCAGCAGGTTCGCGTTTGCGTTCGCTTGCGTCGGCGCGGGCCACATATGAGGTATGTTTTAGCATTGCACGCTGGCACCGCCCGAGTCGCGCCGCTGCCGTTACCCATAGTAGCCGGCGTCGCGACCGGGCCTCTGCCCACTCTGGAGTCTGCGGATTGCAACGCGTCCGCTTGGGAATCATGACGAGCCCCCGCTGCGCATGCGGGGACCGGTGGGTGCGCTCGCGAGTGTCGCGCCCGTCCCATGGATGCATTGGGAATCGGATGATGGCCAAGGGTCGGGATGATATACGCATATGTATACCCTGCGCCGGGCCCGACGAAGTGCGCCACCCTGAGGCGGGTTCGAGCTCGGGGCGACGGGAGAAGAGGCTCCGGGTGGGCGGTCCAATCATGCAACATGTGCGCAGGCGCGAAACATTGATAGACATGCATATAACAGTTAAACATATGTGGCGACATGTCGAGGACCCCTACGCGCGCGGGCCGCGGACTGCACCGTATTTGGCGGCTGCGCTCGCTTCGACGGGAACGGGTTACGGGGAGCGCAGGAAGCTCACACGGGTCGCGAGCGTACAGGCGAGCCCCGACCCGCCCGGGGCGCTCAGCGCGCAGGTCAGGCTTGTTGATCGTGCCGAGGAATTTAGTGCAGCTTGTGCACTGCAGCTGGCGGCTGCGTGACTCGGACGCAGCAGCGGCAGCATTGACCCTGGACGCACGGTGGACGCTGCGGACATGAAAACCCGATGGTGATTTACTGACCAATGTACACATCCAGATATCTGGGTGCGCATTCGCCACGTCGCCGGGCGCTCTCCTTGGGAGCACTGGATGCGTAACTGAACAGTGTCAGAGTTCCCCGGGCTCACGCTACGGCTGCGTGCGGTGCGCGCGAACACGGCCCATCTTGCAGCATTCGCCCCAGAAGATCCAGGTGCGTTTGCTCGGGGATGCATGATGTGCTGTACTAAACTGCATCATCCAGCGCCCAGCGTTCGCCGTAGAAGTGGCGTTAGAATGAAGTGCAAACCTACGCACTGACAGCCCTGGGGCGCGCCCGCGTTCACTTAGCTTCCGGGGTGCGAACCTTCTGCGCGCAGGGCCGTGATGCAGATACAGATACAATCAACCGTGCTTGCAATTGCGCTGGTCGACGTCGACGTGTTGCAGGGAAGAAGGAAGGCGGGCGATGATGCGTGTGTAAGTACTTGCCCGGGACCACGGCGGGGCCGGAGCATCGTACATCAGGACACCCTTCGAACTTGTCCACGCCGTCGACGTCCGCGGGGAGCCTGGGGGCGCGCCCATCCAGGGCCCTCCCCACGTACGATCAGGACGGGCCGTCAGGGAACGAGGGAGCTCGTCCTTCGGGATCATAGGACTGTGATGCATGCATGCCAGTGTATAGTGTGTGTATACGCAGGTCATCAAATCCAGATATACGGCCGCGGACAGCCCCAGCGTCAGAACGCGCAGAGTGCGGACCCAGCGCGCTGAGAACCCTGCGCAATCTTCACTCGAGAAGTCATGGACGCAGCGAGAGTTAGTGTTCAGACCTGTGCTGGCGGTACGAGTGCTGCTGCTGCAATACCGCAACGCTGGCGATTGGGCGAATGCAGACGTGGACGCGAAGGATGTATGGCGACAACGTTTGCCCAAAGACACGTGGATTCTACAGCTAGCCTACACAGGTGTCGACCTCGGGAGGACGGAGTTGTACGAAGTACACTAGGCATGTACTCGGAGCAGTGGGCGCGGCGCCCGGGACGGAATTAACCAGCAGAAGGAGGGTGGTGGTGCGTGCGTACTGGTAGCGGGATTACTACAGCATATATGTAGTTTATAGCAGTTAGGTGATGGCGGCGGCGGCATGCGCGCGCGGGGGAGGGTATACACTATGTATGCAGGGGGACGGAACGGGAGGGGGAAAGACACCGAAGGCCCAAAGGAATGCAGGAGCTCTATACAGGGGAAATGCGAAGGAGCGGGAGGATGCGCGCAGAAAGAATGGCGAAGGAATGCGTATGGCCCCAGAAGATGCGAGTGCGCAAGCGCGGGCGGAGAGACAACATGATGATGAGGACGCGATGAGGATGATGACAGCGAGGGAAACCCGGGGAAAGAAAGACCGTGAAACCGCGAATAAACTGTGGTTGTAGTGTACGGGTGATGATACCGGATGAGAGAGACATGAGACCCCGCGCGCCCGCCCCACGCCGGCGAGAGGGCGTCGAGCGCGCCCGGGACCGGAGCGACGACGGGGGGCGGAGGGGGGATGACATGAACATGAAGGTGTCATGATACAGCGCCGCCAAGTCTACGCACTCGCGCCATTAGACACGGACGGCGCGCGCGGCGACAGGAGGTCACTTGGCCCCGGGCCTCTGCGTCCTGCCGCGCGCGTACGGTTTCTCGGTCGGCCGGCGCGCGCACGCCAGCTCGTCCCTGTGCGCGACTTCGGGGGTGGGGGATCGGGGCGCTCAGCGCGCGCGCAGGAGCACAGGGTCAATGCGACTCACAGCCTAAGCCCCGCCGCCGTGGGCTGATCGTGCGCGAGAGCGCTGATGGCGGGCTCGCACTAGGAATGCTAGTGAGATCAGGGATGATGATCTGCGTGGAGCGCGCGCCGCGCGAGGGCGGCGTCGAGGGCGGCGAGCGCAGCACGGGGCGTTTTGCGCCGGGGGTGTCGAAGGCCGAGGAGGGGATGGGCGGCACGGGCGGCGGCGCGTGCGGGGACTGGGGTGGTGGGGGCGGCGAGTGGGAGCGCGTGCGACGGGTGTATGCGACCGAGGGCGAGCGACGGTGCGAACGCCTGCGGGGCGTGCTTCCGGGTGAGGAGAAGGACGAGGACGCGGGAGAGGCCAGCGGAGAGTCACACTGCGCGTTGCGCGTGCCAAACTCGTCTCCGTCAAACCAGAGTTGCTGCTGCACCTTGGTGCTCATGGTGGATGGTGGGGGGTGGTTGAGCTTTTCGAGCAGGGGCGAGCCGACGAGGCGCGGCGGGATTGGGGGCTCGTTGAGGTTTGAGGGCAGCTGGAGGCGCGAGCGCGAGGAGATGCGACGCGGGAAGGCGGGGCGGGAGGGGAGGGGCGAAGGCACGAGGGGTGGTGAGGGCATGCGCGGAGGAGGGACACAGAGAGACATGCAGGTGCAGTACAGGCAGGTGGTGGTGCGAGTGCAGGTAGTCTGGAGCAGCGGGCAGAGAGCAGAGGACGGCACAGCTGGCGAGAAAGCGTGGGCAGCGGAGGAGGACGAGGGTGGGCGTATATATAGAAGCAGCTCGAGGAGACAAAAGAAGGGTGCTTGTGTCGAAGGCCGGGAGACTGCGATACGCGCTGTGAAGGGACGCCGAGCGGTGTGGCACTACCCCTCGGACTCGGATGCACACGCCGCCAGATTCGGACGCTTCGATTTCGGATTACATTCGAAACGCCTCGAGTCCTCCAACAAACGCCGACAACGCATGTTACGATCCCCACATCTCGTCCATCTCGTCACACTCACCTTGCGTGCCCGTATATCACCCGCCCGAGGACAGCTTACATTGCGCGCAAGGCGCCCCGACCGAGCGAATCCTCCGAGGAAGAGGCCACGCCCTGGCAGCGTCTACGGCCGCTGTCCTCGGTGAGCAGAGCAGAGAAGGTGTGTCCGTCCGCAGACGCCCAATCTCCGCCCTCCCAAGTTGTATGCCTGCCAAATCTGGCGTTCGGCTGTACTCGGCAGCCCCTCGCTGAGCTTCGCGTCCGTGTCGGGAGACGAATCGCCGTCTCGGGCGCACTCGCACTCTCACCGTCTCTGGATATCTCACCCTGCCCGACCGCTGCGCACCCCTTCTCGCTCCTCCGTAGCGCCTCGTCTGCACCCTGCAGGCAGATCCGAACCCCGTCCGCAAATGTACAGGCTGCCCTCTTCTCCCCATGAATACGCCTATCCTCCCACCCGCGTCCAACGGTGTGGACGAACTCCTATCTCTTCTTAGACTTCCCCGTCCGCTTCTTCGCCGTCTTCCTCGTGCCACCATAAAGCTATACCAGGCAGGCATGCCCGACCCTCGTCACACCGTCTGTCGGTAGCCAGATATTCCTCCGCCCATCGGTTGCACCCTCGCCTAGATCCGTTCCTTGTTGCCAACTTAATGTTGCCAGCAGTGCCAGTCACCTTCCCGGTGTTCAAACTTCCCAGCGCTCGCTTCTCATATCCGGACAACAAACGTTACAACAAATCCAACGGCTGTCATCCAGACAACAACAGATGCCCTTTATTTCAAGCCCAATCAATGAATCTGCTGCTCCCACACTCAAAAAGACACTGATCATCTGAACGTGCTTCCTCCCGTTCGAAGCCGCTGTAAGACGTACAGCACCTCCTCCGTCGCTTGTTCTGATCGCTGATGTTCTTATCACGGACACACCCGTTCATTGTCCTCTCGGAGCACAATGAGCGTTTCTGGGGCGACCGTCGCGGCGCTGCTCGCTACTTACTCTCGATGAGAAACGCCGCCTAGTCCGCCATTAGGTGAGATTCGCTGGACAGACATCTCTCCGCGCTGGTTCAAGTCGTTCTCCACATGGCGAGTTGGTCTCACGTTCATTTTCCAAGGTCTTCTCGTTTCGCTCCGGAGTTACCCTCAGTCCAGTTTCTCTTGCGCCGTCTGCCTGACTGTGCACTGTACTCCTAGTACTCATCGACATCCTTTACCAAGTCTCTCTCGACTTCGCCATACTCTTCGCCACCCTTGCATACAGCACATGTGAAGATATTTACCTTCTGCTCATCACAACTATAAGTCAGTCCTCGTGAACCCAATTTGCCCCAGTTGCCTCTTGTGTCCTTACCACCATGTTCGTCTTCTCTGAATCTCCCCTCCGACGGCAAACAAGCCTCGCGCCCACCACCACCTGGTTCTCGTGTATGGTAAGTCACAGACCCCATTCCGTTCGGCGTTGATTATCCATACATGTTTCTCGCCAGGGCTCGCTGCTCGCTTGCCACCCGACCCGCTTTTGCACCTTCTAGGAGATCGTCGGTCGACGCTGATCGCATATTGGGCCACTAGCTTGCAATCTCGCCCGCTCTCGCGCGATCAGCGTACTTCCTCCGTCCTGAATGCAATCCGCCCATCTAGGCTAACATCTAATGCGCCACCGCCAGCCTCTTGTCAGCCTTCTCGCGACGGGCGGCCATACAGGGGGGCGCAAGCCCGTCCTGGCCATTCACCGACCTCTGGCAGGAACCTCTTCGCTGCACGCTCTCTTACCCCGGCGGTTTTTTCTCCTGCATTTTTCCGCTCACGCCGCTGGTCTCTGGCGCTTTCCTTCACCGTTGAGCAATTCACATGCACCCCTCGAGCTCCGCGCGTTACCCAGCTATGCCCTCCGCACGCCGCGTCTTCCTCGCCGGACTTCCATTGCTTCCGTTCTTCGTCCGCTGTGTGCCTGCACCGTGGCCACACGTTTCCTCGGGATTTCGCCGGGACGCGCATGCACCCTTTCTGGTCACGGGGACGCCGCCGCACATGCTCGTAGCGGCGCAAATGTCGTCCGCGACGGCGCTCGCGACACCAGCGGACGCTTCGGCGACAGTTGCCTTTCTGGCAGTTCACGCCTCGCCCGCGAGCGCTCCCGACGCGGATCCTCCTGGGCGCGCCCGCCGCTCTGAGGCGATTCTATTCTTTCCCCCTCCGGATGTGCTTCTACCGCCTTCCCCTCCAGCGCCGACCGTGACAACGTCCATGCCGCCGGCCGCCGCTGCCCAACCACCCGGTGCGATTGTGGCGGCGGCGCCTCCCACTGGCGCGCCCGCCGCAAACGGCGATCTCAACCTGAATGCGGACTCAGGCGGGCGCCCATCGCGCCCCCTCGTGATGGCATACTACCCCGACTGGGCGGCAGACGCGTTCCCCCCGGAGAAGATCGACTTCGGGCGGTTCGACTGGGTCGACTTCGCGTTCGCCGTACCCGGCGCCGACTTCAACCTTACATGGGACGGCTCCGACGACGCCCCCGACCTCCTACGGCGTCTAGTCAGCCGCGCGCACGCGAAGAATAAGAAGGTCAAGCTCAGCGTGGGCGGCTGGACAGGAAGCAGGTGCGTAGACTTTAGTGGGCCCTGCACGTATGTTATCTCCGGCTGCAAACTGCTACTGCGCGTGCAGGGTCCTTCGTGCACGCAGCGCGCGAAATTCGCTCATAACATGCTGACCGGGCTCGTCCGCTCCAGATACTTCTCGGCCGCGGCTGCGTCCCCACAAACACGCGCGGCGCTCGCAGGCAACATCCTCGCGCTGTACACGCAGTTTGGGCTCGACGGGATCGACCTCGACTGGGAGTACCCTGCACAGGACGGCGCAGGGGGCAACCTCGTCAGTCCGAACGACGGCGCGAACTTCCTCGCGTTCTTGCGTGTGCTCCGCGCGACGCTCCCGCAAGGCGCGGTCATCACCGCCGCAACGCAGACGGTGCCGTTCGCGGGCGCGGACGGAGAGCCAATGCAGGACGTTTCTGCGTTCGCGGAGGTGCTCGACTGGGTGCTGCTCATGAATTACGATACGTGGGGCTGTGAGTGTTCTTTCCCCTGCTCTTCCGGGCTTCGCCGTCCTCCTATCGCCGTAAAATGCATATGCTGACCCCTGTCCTTATTCTTCCCCTTCTTTCGCTCCTTCGCTCCCGGATCCACACCTTCTTCGGAACTGCGCGCGCTCCACTTTGTGTGTCCTATCTGCAGCTTCGGACACGCCTGGCCCCAACGCACCCCTTGGCGACGCGTGTAGCAACTCGACGCAGGGCAGCGCGAGTGCGCTTGCGGCGCTCCGCACGTGGACGGCTGCGGGCTTCCCCGCGTCCCAACTCGTGCTCGGGGTTCCCTCGTATGGGTACATTTCGCGCACGTCTGCCGCACTCCTCCGCACGCGTGGCCAATCCATGCGACGCACAACCCTACGGCCTTGGCGGTTTCACAAGCGAAGACACAACGGTGTACGCAAAACACGGCGGCACCGCGTCCTGGAATGGGTGGGTGCGCTGGTGGACAAAACGAACATCCTCTCTACCGGCTCCACCCTGGTCCATAACGAGGACGGCGGCACAGACAACGGCCAGGTCCAATTCCGCGACCTCGTAGCCCAAGGGGTCCTCCAGCCCTACCTCAGTAACAACACCTCCCCTAGCACCCTCAGCGCCCTTCGCTCAAAGAAGACGGACGAGAACGCGGAGGGGCGGCGACTGTTCGCGGGCGGGGGCGGGTTCGAGCGGTTATGGGACGCGTGCTCGAGCACGCCGTTCCTGCGGTCCGCCGGCGCGCGGCAGGTCATCACATATGACGACCCGGTGTCACTCGAGATGAAGGCGCAGCTCGCGCGCGCGGCGGGCATGCGCGGCGTGAACCTGTTCGACATCAGCGGGGACACGGACAACTGGGACCTCGCCGACGCGCTGCTCCGCGGCCTGGGCGTCAAGTAAAGGCCGTCTGGGTACTAAAGACTTGGGCCCACTCGTTTGACATTGTGCTGTGCATACTTATGAAAGCCTGGCGCTACGAAGGGGGAGGAGGACTAGGCGAACAGGGCCGAACGTGCGCTGGATGCACATAGCACTAACGACTCTACTTGTGGATGCCGACTTGCAAATGCAATATGCTGCGAGCAGGATGTGCTTTGTTACCGAAATATACTCCGTGAATATGGGCACATCGTGAGGCGTCTGCATATCTTGAATGTGACCCGCCGCCAGAAGGATGAGTTGCATGCCGGCGGGAGAAGGAACCGCGTAGCTAGGCGCCGGTTGATGAACCAGAAGAGGAACTTCTGAGGAACATGGTCGCCGTCGCGTCAGTTGAACTTTCAACTCAACCCACGCACGCGTTGTCCACACCCAACCACCGTGCTACCTCCGCGTGCCGTTCTTCGCGTGCCTGTTCTACCCACCATTTCGCAACCACCCGCTCCTTGTTATCCTTTTAGTAGCGAAGACGCGTCAGCCGCACCCGAGAGACACGCACTAACGTTACCTTCAACAGCAAGCAACCGCTTCCGCGCACCCTCGGGCGTCCGAAACCCCCTCGGAGACGCGTCGAGCTGGCAACCGAACGCTTACGAAGCTGAATACCGCGCGCCGGGCGTAGCAGTCGTCGCCCCGCATGAACAACTTCGACCCCACGCGTCCCATGGTGCCTGCGTCGGGCGGCGCAGACCTCACCGCGTTTTTCGCGGCGATGCAGCACCAGATGCAGACGCAAGGTCTTCAGCCGCAGATGCAAACGCAGGGTCTTCAGCCGCAGATGCAGATGCCCGTGCAGGCCAACATGCCCGGCGTCCAATGGCAGGGGCAGTTTTGGCCACAACAACTCCCGCAACAGCAACAGCAACCTCAATCACAGCAGCAGCAGTGGATCCCCGGGCCTGGGCCGAGCGCGGGGCCGCAGCTTCAGGCAGTCCCCCAGCCGTCTGTGCAGAGTCTGCAGAGCATGCTCGCGTCTGTGTACCAGCTGTGCGTCCAGCAACAACAACAATTACAACAGCAGCAGCAGCAGCAGCAGCAGCAGCAGCAAGTGCCGCACTTGTACTTGCCGGCGCTGCCACAACCGCCACAACCGCCGCCACCAGCACAGCAGCAGGCGCAGCTGTCGTCGCCTGTGGGCGCTATGATCGATGACGAGGCACGCCTTATTGAGGCGCTGAAGAGCTGCAGGGGGAAGGGTATCACGCCTCGCCAGGCGTTGGAGAAGCTGCATGGGGTATGTACGCGGTTCTTGACATCGGAGCTTAACTGTGCTGAACTGGCGCTAACGAACGTTTTGTAGGTTAATAACCACAGTGCTTCTGGTAAGATCCCGGACAAGGACTATTAATCTACGAAGTTTCTGTATGAAACTTACACTGGGGTATCGTCTTATAGATTGGAAAGATTACTTTCTCGACCATCATGAACGATTGTGTGCACACGTCAAGCCTCCTCTCCCGAGACCAACGTCCGTCTCTAATGGCCCGTCCTCATCCCAAGCCGGGCGGTCGTCGATTAATACGTCAGAACGACCGACGAATGCGCCACAACGGTATGTCTCTCCCATCCGCCGCGCCGCGCATTCTTATCCCAAAGCTCGCAGGCAACGCCCGCCCGATTCTCGATCGCACCTCTCCAACGACAAGTCCCAGCACTGCGTGGCACCGCGCCTCCCCGAGTCTGCCAGAATATCGCGGTCACAAAACAGGCGCCCCTCTCCGCCCTCTACGCAGGCCCAAGAGTCCGAATTCGAGTTCTCCCACTCGCCTAGCGCATGGGCAAAGACACCTCCTGCGGCCCCCGTCCTGGGTAGCCGGCGCACGCGCGGCGAGCCTATCGCACACTTCCACGCGGGCACGTGCATCCCGTTCACGGAGAGCCGCATGAAGCCCTCTCCGCCTCTAGAAGAGGATGCGGGTACTGGCGGGAAGTTCACCCCGGCGGACCACCGCTTTTTTATCCACTACCTTCGCTGGCGGCTCGCGAAAGACCCGTTGGTGAAGCGCGACGTGCTGTATGGGGAGCTCGCAGAGCAGGTATGTTCGAGCCAGGGGAAGCCTCAACGTATACTGACTGACGCGTCCATCGTTAGACACCCTCGCACGACGTGGACGCGTGGAAGCGGCACTGGGACAATCACCCACAGCTGCCTGACCAGGTCGTCATCGAGGCCGGGAAGCGCGCGGCGGCACCGCGTTCCTCACAGCGCTCGGATGAGCTCCTCCAGCATGCCACTACTGGCGAAGGCTCCGTGGAGTCTGCAGGCGACGATGACAGCGATGAGGAGCGAGAACAAGACGAAGGCCAGAACACTCAACGAACTAAGCGCGCCCCCGTGCGGCGGGCCGGCAAGAAGAGGGGAGAGCGGCTCCCGATTACGGAGGAGGACTTACGGGTGATGGCCCGGTACATGTTCGAACGCGGGTGGTCTGTGTCCGGTCCCAAGCGCCGCTGGATCGAGTTCGCGGAGCAACCAGAGGTAAGCAGCTTGGGCTCTCCGTTCTCTGGGTCGCGCGGCGCCGCACAGTACCTGTTCGTCGGCGTCGTTGGGTATGGGCTGAGCTGATCGTGTCGTTCGCCCATACAGAATGAGGGGAAACGCACGTATGAGGGCTGGTACTCGATCACCATTCCTCGGTCGCCACACAGGACAGGTACGCAGCCTGTCAATATTTGCTTCCTTACGCGTTCTCAGTCCGGAGAATATTGATCTCTCTCTTTAGCGCTCGAAAAGTACCTCGAGGAACTTCATAAAGAACGCGGTCTAGTGCCAAAGCCGTCCAACGAGGCCCAAAGCGGAGACCCCCCTGTAGTGGACCTTGAGACATCGTCAGAGAAAACTGATGACAAGGAAGAGCAGAAGCCGACGCCTCTGGAGGTTCACAAACACAGTCCTCCTACGTCCACTGCGATATTTGATCTGGAAGGCAGTCGTTCACGAAAGCGCACCGCCGAGGAGCCGACTCCCAAGGACGAGTCCCCAGAACGCAAGCGGCCGAGAGAGGGTACTCCTTCGGACGTAATCGTAGTATCTGATTGAGGGTACGGTTACTGTACACTGTGTATTTGCTTCCGAATTCGCTCGGCGGTTGTACAAATGGCACGGTATGTTGTTAGTTGCTGAGTTGCTAAACCTTAGACACAGATTACACGGAGAGGGATTGATCTATATGCTATTTGACTTATATGCACGGTTACATACACTTCTCCTACTACGTACTCGCTGAGTCCGCCTACAAAGCCACAGCGAACTCCCTTCGTCCTCGTCGCTGACCATGGCCTTGACAATGAGGTGCTTGGTGTGCATCGGCAGACATGATAGCAGGTACCTCTGCACCCACCTTCGTCTTGCCGACGAACAAACTCCAGAGCATGCTGACGCCCTAGCTGACCATGCTAACCTCAAGCTTGTGCTCGCGCTGGCCCCAGCCCGACGATATCCTTGAGCGTGAGATCGTTCTCGAGTTCGAAGTGGTTCTAGAGCGTCCAGTCGATCCAGTTGTACCTTGTCCATCTTCCGCGGGATCGACTCCGAGGGGCCGATGAACAGCAGGGCGAACTTCACGAACCCGTTCTTGTACGCCTCGATGTTCTTCTTGCCGTCGATGAGCTTGTAAAGCTCGTCGCAGACGAAGACCGCGCCGAGCCATGGGGCATAAGTGACACAGTGCTCGCTTATGTATCTTGGGGCGATATCTTGGACCGGGGCCTTTGAGGTCAACGTCGACAGCACTGTGTTTGTATATGATGAGTGCTACTGTAGCTTCATTGTATTACTCTCGATAATTTACCAGGTCCCTAGCTGTGCAATCAGGTGTTGCTGCGGGGGATCAGCGCCTCCGCGTACATTCGGACACTTTGATTCTGAAGTGTAGAGAAGTCTGCGAGTGTGAAGTTGCCTCACCAACTTGACTATTTGTGAGAAGTGTGGCGCGACCTACTGACGCCACTGAAACACCTGGGAGCATCCTCGCTCGGGCGGATGATGGCATCCATCACTATTCCACACTCTCTAGACTCACAGAAGCTTGAGGCCACCGTCGTGCCGCCTTAGGGACACTCAACTCGAAGCGGCACATGGACCCACCTGCTGCATGCAGCCTCGTATCTTATGGCCGTCGAGAAAAAGATCAAGAGCATGGTGACCTCAAACCCCATCCAGCCGGAACAGAAGCAAGATCTCCATCCGCGTGTGTAGTGTCGTACGCGTTGATACCGTCTTCGCAGTGACCGGAAGACGCGAAACCCTGACGGAACCGACGACATCTGTTCCTTAGTACCGCACTGCGTAAGAGATGTTTCTGCACACAAGTGCAAGTGAGTATATTAGCACATATATCATGCAATTGTCTCTTACCATGTGCGTATATTTTTCTGCTCGTGTGTCGACGAGCTGGTAGTGATACAGTAGTAACCGGGCCAGGCGCTTACATCATCATTGAATGCGGCCACGTGGCTCTCGCGTGAGCGCGTCTTGTGTGGCTCTCCCATCCTCCCATCAGACTCTCCTTCCACTCTTTCGACATACGTATGAATCCACACACTCGTCCAACTCGTCCACAAGGCAGACAGTCAGATCGTCTCAGTCGCATGCATGCCGAACGAAGTATTGTGCATGGTGTGGTGTGGTAGGCCGTAGCTAAGCAACCATGTCGCCACCGCGAGTTCGTCGCCGTTCTCACAGCCCGCCTGTGTCCTCCCATTCCGCCGCCGCGAGACATCCTGGATGACCGGGATGCGTTTCCAGGGTACTTGCGTGTTCGCACATAGCGCACTCCGCGACCAGATGAGGTGCGTCGTGGTACCTTCCGAGATGCAAGTCGCTCAGACGAAACTTACCTTTCTTCTTTCGAATCCGTTATTGACTACGATCTGTCAGTTACCGGGACGTGCAAGCCGTACCCTTCTTTATTTAAGCTCGCATAGCGCTCGTCAACAGTGCCGTCTGCCGTCCATAAAGGGTAACAGGGCATTGACCCCAGCGCAGTGCACACCTCAAGATCGCCGCATGCGCGTGTCGCAGCCAACACTACTACCATAAGTACGTAGGTTGAGACGGCAATCCAACTGCAGATGGCACTGCTTTAACCTGCTCGTCATAACGCCGTTCTCACGCCCCTAGTCAGCCCGACGGCAGTGGAGGCGATTGACAGCTGCAATGCATCAAAATCGCCGTGGTTCGTTGGCGTCAGTGATGAAAGTCGGTGCTATATAGCTCTCGGTCCTGCGCACAACCACCCACCGTACCGTACTACTACATCCTCCGCTCAGTCGAGTGTGTCTCCACGCATCTGCGCCTCGCAATGCTCTCAGTTACCATCTTCGCAACCTGGTGCTCCTGCTTGGCTCTGGCGCTAGCGGCTACCACTGGGACCGCGACGCCCTTCATTCCTCCTGCAGTCCCACTCGCCGTCCGGTCCCCTTACCTGTCAGCATGGCTTAATCAAGGAAAGGGCGCCGCTTTGAACGACGTTTGGCCTTCTTTTTGGAGCGGCACTGTGGGTGGTGTGCACAACCTGCGTGTCTGGCATGTACTGAATTTGGCGCTGTAGAATCTGGGTTGGGCAGGCTTCGCCAAAGTAGACGAAGTAACCTATTGCTGGCTCGGTATGCCTGGGCTCATGGCGGGTGTGAACTTCACAAAGGCCACGCAGAAGAGCCTCCAGGTTGGTATTTGCGAAGACCCGCTTCCTTCCCTTGTTGACACCGCCATGTCACAGATTACTGCCACTCAAAGCATCTTCGTAATGACGGCCGGCCCAGTCGATCTTACTATCACGTTCCTTAGCCCCGTCGAGGTCAATCTTGCTCCCCCGATTGACAAGTTTCTTGTCTCATTACTTATATTCTCATTCCAGCCTGCCGACTTTGTGAACCAGTCACTCCCGTTCTCTTACCTCGCTGTATCTGCAGCCTCGAACGATGGTAAAGACCATGTCGTTCAGATATACTCTGACATCAGTGCGGAATGGATATCTGGGGACGATAGCCTAGAAGTCCGGTGGAGTACAACTACGGGAGACGTCATCACGCACACAGTCCAGTTGGCCGTGCAGCATGCGTACACGGAAGTCAGCGATCGTATTCAAGGTGAGTGCCTTTAGGATCTATGGATATTCCTTGCAGGCTGACCATGGGCCCAGATGGCTCTGCTTACTATTCCACTTTGAACGTGCGTATCACTATAAGAGGCATCGGTGGTCACGTCCGAGTTGACTGACGGATCGCGTCTACTAGCCCAGCGGCACAGCATCCTGGCAAACGGGCAGAGATAACGTCTTACGATCGCAGTTCGTCAACGACGGGGTACTCGCAAACTCGCAGGACCTCAACTTCCGTGCTGTTTCGGACGACTGGCCAGCGTTTGCCCTCGCTCATGACTTAGGTGCCGTCAACGCGGCTTCCGCGCCGGTGGTGTTCTCGATCGGGCATCACCGCGATCCGGCGGTCCAGTATATCGTGGCAAATAACCAGCTTCAAGCGCGGCGTCTTGCGTTCTGGTCGCGGTACTCGAGTTCCAACGAAGCAGTAAGCATACACAACTCAACATTGTCGTGAGGCATCGCTGACTAATCTAGATCTTGGCATTCCTCAACGATTACAACGACGCTCTTGTGCGGGCTAATGCTTTCGACGCACAAGTTGCCCAGGATGCATCGAAAGTCTCCGATGACTACGCATCTGTCGTCCCGCTTTCGGTCAGGCAGACATTTGGGGCTCTCGAAACTACGCTTCCCGCAGACCTCAACACGTCTGATGTCCTGATGTTTCACAAAGGTTCGGTCATCTCATCATTAAGATAGTGTTATGCTGACGGACTTGGCATGCAGAGCTAGGGAGCGACGATGTAAGCGCATATTCTTCGTGATATAACTCATTATGTTGCTTACATGCTCGTAGAACGTCAACTCGGCGGACGCCATTTTCCCAGCGTGGCCGCTCTTTTGCTACATCAACCCCACTCTCGGAAAGCAGCTACTGCTGCCTCTTCTCGAGTATCAAGCTACGGGGCAATATCCGAACGACTGGGCTCTTCACGATGTCGGTGAGCCAAACTCTCCGTCGCGCGTCCATTTGTTTTGCTTATCCTCTGCAAGGCTCAAACTATCCCAATGCAACCGGACATAACGAAGGTACGTTCCTTCTCTCAAATATTACTTACCCGAAACCGAACGGCGTGAATAGGTGCCGATACATCTATGCCCGTCGAAGGTGCGTCTATCGAGGAACATCGCGTTTGAAGTGGTCTCATACGAATGCATCAGAGTCCGGCAACATGCTCATCATGGTGCTAAGCTACACCCAGAGGACGAACGACACCTCACTGGTCGACAACTACGTAAGGACCGCTGCATCGCCACCGTCTTGCATCTTGCTCATTGGTGGATTGCGGACAGTATAACCTCCTCGACAAATGGGCGCAATATCTCGTGGGGAACGCGCTCCAACCAGGAAACCAATTTGACACGGAGGACTGGGAGGGCTCACTCACCAACCAGACGAATTTAGCTATCAAAGGCATCATCGGCATCAAGGCCATGTCGGAGATTGCGGCCATGAAGGGCGACACGGCGAAGGCCTCCAGCTACAGCGTACGCATGCTCAATCCTCCTTCTTCGAAGACAACTGACTTGACACCCTGTTTTGGTGATAGTCAACAGTGTCGCAGTACGTCCAACAATGGGAGAAGCTCGCCACGTCCACTGACGGCACGCACCTAACCCTCACTGTGCGCAGCAACCTGTTGTAATCAGATACTTTCTAACCTTCGTTATTTTACAGTACGGCAATGATACAAGGTGCGTATCACACGCTCAAGTAATGCTTCACGGCACAAGCTCACTCTTAACCTAGCTGGGCCCTTGCGTACAACTTCTATGCGGACAAGTTGCTCGGCACGAACGTGTTCCCGCAGTCTGTGTACAACATGCGTGAGCTCTGCTTTTCTTCGGAGGTCTTGTTGACCCATACTGACCTACGTCCGAAGAAACTGAGTGGTATAACAGTCACGCAAGTGAGTGTACCGCGTTCATGCACAGCGCCCAAGCTTGAACTTAAACCTCATCCAGACGCTTACGGGGTGCCATTGGATAGCAGGTAAGCCTACACGCCAAACGCAGCGTCGACGTCTAACACACCGGATGTTACCCAGGCATACATTGACAAGCACCAGTGAGATATTGGCAGTGTCCCTCGAAACGCGTTGCGCGCATCGCTCACTCGATGTCGACAGCCTGGCAGATGTTCGCCGCAGGTACGGTCACCGACGACGCCGTCCGCGACCTGTTGGTCAGCTCCGTCCGCAAGTACGCCGCAGCTGGGAACACGTCCCAGCCGCTCGGCGACTGGTACGACACGATAGCTAGCACGCTGGCGAAGAACAATCGCGCAGAAGGGGCTGTTGGTGGTCACCTCGCACTGGTATGAACGGCTCGCCAGTGTTTGGCTGTATCTCCTTATTGACGTGCCGTGTCTACAGCTTGCGTTGCAATCAAACTCCTCAATCGCGCCCAGCATCCCATCCGCGTCTGAGGGCAGCGGTGCGCCACCATCGCCAGGGGCCTCAGCTACGACTCCGACTACCTCCGCCTCCCCGACGGGAGACCGACCAAACTCAGCGGTGCCTCGGGCCGTGCATCGACTCGGCTTGAACGTGCTCTTGTTCCTCATCTCGAGTGCGTTGATGACTACAATCTAGGGGCTTCCAGGGCACGGTAGCATAACACGGACAGGATGTCTCAGCTGATAGTCGGGTTAGTCGTAGTGTTATAGTATCCTTCAACTGATTCCGAAGACAAGAATTATGTTGGATTTTTCTGCGACCTTACCACGAAATCAGGAGTTCTCTTCTCACAGGAACCGGGGCCGGGTGTGTGCGCCATCTACCGCCGACACCACTCAGTGCCGGGATCTCTGTGTAGCGGGGCCAAACCGCTCGACCAACTGAGCACGCACATGTGCGCAAGCCCGCCAAGAGGAGTGAGCGGGTTACGGAGGACCTGCAGGCGCTGGTCCGGTACGTGATCGCGAAGGAAGACGAGTGGCGTGTATCGTCTGAGGCTCTTAACAAGCGCTGGACCGAGCTCGAGGTATGTAGCCCGGACCCCACGTTTGCGTCTGTCGGTCTGTGGGTACGGCGTGTACCGACTGTCTCGTTTGTCCGTGCAGCATGCGAAGCGCTCGGTGCTCAGCTGGTACACGATCACGAACACGCATAGCAAACGTACGCAGCCTGATCTTGCAGTCTCGTATCTTATGCCCGCCTTGGGGGAAAAATGGAGCAGCTCATTGACATGGGCGCCCAAGGTGTCCATCTGCGTGCGTAGTGTCGTTCGTACCGTGTCTTCGCAGTGCCCTGTAGACGCGAAGCTGCATGACTGATCCGACGTAGGCTGTTCCTACCGCACTTATATAGTTCCTTCCTGAAAAGCAACAGATGTTTCTGCACACAAATAAATATCAGTAAATCCGCATACATATCATGCAATTGTCTCTTACCATACACATACAATCATCCTGCTTACTGTGTGTCGACGTCGAAGAGCTGGTAAGTAGTGGTACGGTAGTCAAAATAGGCGCTTACAATCGTTGGCGCTTTCCTGTGTACAAGTTTGGACGTGTTTGTCCCCTTTCCCCGAGCGTATAAGTAGCCTGAGATAAAGTTTTCATCGACGCGTCTCTCCCGCACGCCCATCCCCTTCTGTACTGAACCGCAATGACCTTGGCAAGGTGAGTATCCATCCGACCAGGCGAGCGATGATGCTATCTATATATTCCCAAACATCCGAACGCCCCGCGCGTCGTGAACTCACTGTTGTAGTCCCTGAGCCGCCTGCCCGTTCACATCGCTGTGTGCTTGCCGGCTCAGGCGTGTACTCACACATCTCCTGCGCAGGAACGCGTCGCGATTAGGGTCCCTCGGAGGACTGGTTGCTGTGAAGGTACGTGTCTAGATCCTTTCCATGTCCCCTCGCCCCCATGCTTCGCGTCGTGCTTGATGACAATACTATTCACACTGGATGAACGTCCGTTGCTACGGCACGGATGGACATGAGTAAAACCTTTTCTACAACGGTATCTGACACACCATTTCCCATCTCTTCTCATTTCTGCATGTGCGAATGAGAGCAGTTTGGCTGACGAACGGTTACTTCCATAGGTTTACTATCAAGTTGACAAGTCGGGAAGGGTCTGTGGCTGTATATAGCGTATCCTAGTGTTCTGGCACAAAGCAATATATTCGTCGTACACATCATACATCGATCGAACACAGCAAAAGAGAGCGAATAGGCACATGAGATCGAAGGCATGCATTCATGCGATGCTATCGTCGAGAAGCTTCTCGTCATCGAATGCGTCTGGCGGAAGCTGTCCCTGTATCTGGCTGAGAGCACCCTTGAACACGTACAAGAACGGCCCAGACTTGGCGGGCGGGGGCGTGGACTGGTACGCAACAGGCAGCGCGCAGCGTGGACAATGGAACCTATACTGTTTCTCATGCCCACCTTGTCTGATAGCGTAGCGAAATGAGCCTGAGGGATCGCGTCTCGCTCGCCTGGGCGACAGCGGGAAACGCGGACTCACCGCTCTACGAGGATTGGCTCCTTGGGCGTGGCGTTCAGCTTGAAGATCCGCGCCTTGGCGTCGTCCGCGTCCTGGCAGCGAATGATAATTGCGCCGTCAGTCTGGCGCCGCGGAAGGCTCGCTAGGCTCTTGTCGACGACGAGCTGCGCGCGACGGGGAAGCGGGGGACGTGTGAGAGGCCGAGGGCAGCGGGGGGAGGTGCACAGGAAACACGCACGATAAACTCGCCGCAGATGCAATCTGGGCGGGGCGGGTCAGCTTGTGTCAGGGAGAGGACAATGGGGAAAGGATCACACAGTAGACGCGGAGGGCTGCCGTTGATGATGCGGTGGGCCGCGCTAGAAGACGATGGCGAGTGAGTCGAATCAGGGTGGACACTTGGTATGAAGCTGGCGCACCATCTGTGGAGGACGAGACCGCGGAACGCGAGACGACCTTGGGCATTGCAGTGAGCTTTGATGAAACGGCGGTCCCGGGATGATGCCAGCGAGGTTTACAAGGGTCGCAAAATTGCACGCAGAGATGGCCGAGCAGGTGGACTGAGGAGGGACAGATCCGCGGGTCGGTTTGTTGCGGAGATGTTGTGTGAGCACAGTCTGAGACGAGAAGCACGATCGGCCTAAGCAGCTAGTAGCGAGAGACCGATGGCGGCGCTGCTGCTCGAGGACCAAGGAAGAGCACACGGGAGAGCGCAAGGCTCGCTCAGTACGCCTTGGACGCGCTCGACGCTCCTAACCCCAATCCCGATCGCCGCGGAGGGCGCGCTCAGACAGACGCCCACACCTGCTCGGGACGACTTTTGGCAGGGGCTCGCGTCCTTGCCAACGTCTGCTCACAGCTGCTCACTCGATCCACGCTCGATGGCTCGATCGCTTCTCTCTGCTAGACACGCCTCTCCCCTGGTCCTCTGCACGCTGTCCGCCTGTGTCTCGGATGGACTGCCGTCCTCCCGCCGTTGTCTCTGTCCTACTGCGCTGCTTTTTGGTCTCGAGTGAGTAGTTGGTCGTCTGCGTCGTCCTAGATGGTCTGCGTTTTCGGTACGTCCCGCTAGCCTGCTGTGGCCGGGTACCTTCACTGACTCGAATCCTCCCTTGCAGATTGCGCTTCGTCGGGGCGCCCCTCGGCGATACCTACAATACGCATACAGCTGTCGTCCCGAACGGCACACGCGAGCACCGGCGGATAGCGTTCGATCCGCTCTCTCTGCGCGCGCACCTCCCTCCTCCGACCTGTCTCCCTGCACGCCCCGGCCCACAAAGCCCCCACCTAGGACACGGCGGATTCGATGGCTGCGCTCGCCGCGCACCTCCTCGTGCAAGCACGAAGCCGCCGCATGCGTCCTTCGCCCGGAATCTTGGGCTCATTTCTCCCGTCTCCCGTCGTTCCCGCCACCGCAGTTCGTATAGCCCCCACGTACGACCTGTACGGCACGATAGAGGGCGAGCTGTTCTCGCATATGGTGCGTTCCCAGCCTGTGCGCACGTGAACTGCGCTCACGGCGTCCGGTTTACAGGTCGTTTCTCCGCAGAAATCGATGTACTCCCCGTCGCAGCATCTATATCAACACCTCACAAAGCTTTGCACGTCCCCGCCATGTCGCTCTGTCGCGCAGAAAGACACCCGCAGCGTGCAATGGCGCTGGGCGGCCGCCACGCGCGATGAACGGGCAGTGCTCGTGAGCGTCGCAGCGACCGTGCTCGTACATGCCACGAATCCTGCGTAGCGCGTCCTAGATCATGGATAAGCATGCGTCGGGCCCTCTCGAACGTTCCCGCGCCGTCCGTATCGGCGTCGCACGTCCGCCTCGCCTCGTACGCCGCCGCGCCCGAAGCCCCTCTCCAGTACAAGAACCCCAACTCGCGGCCTAACGCTTCGCCCAAAGCCGCTCACCACGCGTCTACACGTCCCTTGTACTACGACGCACACACGCTCCACATCTCAGCCGAATCCGAGCAGAAATATATTTCGTCGAAAACGCCGATTTTTCATGGACACAATCGGACTCGCGTCGACTCCAGCGCGCCGAGCACGCGTCCCGCAGCGACGCCGTTCCGCACGAGCACGCCCACAGACGTCCCTCGTCGGTCCCCGCTGCGCCCGAGCCCGCACGCGCGGTTCCCGTCGCCGCACGCGCGCCAACGTCGCTTTCGGAGCGGCCCCGCGCCCCTAATCCGCAACTCACGGTCGAACGCCGCCGCCGGAGCCTCCGCAACTCTGACGGCGGCTCCCCTGCACCACGGCGCATACACCCACCGCGTCCCAGCGCGGTCCGAGCCAAAAACATTCGGGACATTTTCGGCCATTTCATGGGCATGGCGGCGTCCGCCGGCGAAATGTTGCGTCGCGCTCCGGCATCGCGCCCGAATCCGCTCAAACTTTGACGGCGGGTCCCGTGCACCACTGCGAACGCACGTGCGAAGTATCGGCGCGATACAAGCCGGGTCATATTTCGCCGTTTATAGGCGGGTGCTCAAATCCGCACGATGTGCGCCGCGACCCGCGCCGCCTGCTCATCCTGTGGCGACGCCATTTGGCACAGACACTCGCGTACGTGCCCGGCATCGTTTCCCGTGGCGAAGAAGTCCGTACACGCCACGAATCGCCGCGCCCGCGGTCGAGAGAGCGGGCGCGCCCCGCTACAAAACGCGCAGTCGCGCTTCGACGCCGCGCCCGGAGCCTCCAAGAACGCGACGACGGGCTCGCTGCACCAGGACGCATACCGCTGCGGCGTCCCGGCGCGATACGCGCAGAAAACATATGTGCGCCTGCGCGCCGTTTCGTGCCATCTCATAGGCGAAAAGCGAAACACGAGCCCTCGCCGCCGCCGACGTGCACGAGTCCATCCGTGTGCATCCGGCATCGTCTCCCCCGCCGTTGCGGCGCCCGGACGCGCCGCCTCGCCTGCGAGATTCCGGCGGGGGCGGCTCAGGCACTCTGCGCCGAAGCCGCGCGCCCCGGATGCGACGTAGGGTGTGTGCAGCACCGTGTACGCGGGGCTGCATCTTGCGACGCACCGGGCGCGCACGCGCGGTACGTGGTCGTCGACGTCGACGTCGTGCGCCGGCACTGGCGGCTTTGAGTAGTCGAGCCTGGGGGCGTGCGCCTTGCGCTTGCACGCCGCGTGGCGGTCTCCTACCTGGCGGATGTCGATGTAGTGGGCGCCGCGGAACGGCGACGACGATGACCGGCGGGTAAAAGTCACGCACGTCGGCCTGGCAGATGACGGCCTTGCCCGCGACGCAGGGGGCACGCACGCGAGGTACGTGGTCGTCGACGTCGACGTTGTGCGCCGCGGGGTCGATGGAGTGGGCGCCGCGAAACAGCGACGACGGCGACCGGCGGGCGCGGGCGCGGGTCCCGAACGTCAGTGCTGCAGATGATGGCCATGTCCGCCGCCACCGCCAGTACAGCGTCGCCCTTACCACAGACGACGCCGTCCCAACGTCTCCAGTGGCCCCCAGGGAGTCGTCTGCCGCTGTATCTACGAAGGACTATGATGTACTCCGACCTCCGCCCTGCAATGCACCGCCCTCTCCCGCTCTCATCGTGGCCCGCCTTCGCCTCGCCTGCACCACGTGCAACGAAGAAGGCGGTGGCGCCCGCGATATCTACTCTGCCAGTAGTCAGCCTTCGTCTAGTACGCATGGCATCCGGGCGGTGATACTGACCGTGGTCGGTAGCAGGTTCCACGTATCGACGGGAGTCTTCGCATAGGAGAGCAGCCAGCTGAAAGCGTTCGTGAGTAGTCTAGACATGTTCGCATACGAGATGTTAACTGACCAGGCACAATACAGGACGATTCCTGAGATGACGCAGACGCGGGCGTCGCAGCGACGTCAACCGGCACGAACTGCATAATGTCAACGCGAGCATCATCTCCGACGCGACACTGACGATGACGCACCACGAATCCCCCGCCGATACACCCCCGGGGCAGGGTGCGAGCTTGGGGACCGAGAACAAAGGAAGGCGCACACTGCTGCACGCGGATCTGACAACTACGATCTTCCGGAAATGATAACGAGGATCTGCTCACTGTGTAGCAGCAACCGGGACAGAACACTTGCGTCCTCGAGCCTCGTACCGCGGGCCGCGCGTGTGGCGCCCTCGTGAAGGGACCGGGAGCACCGCGGTCATCTGGACACGGAAAGGTCAGTGAAGCATTCCGGACGATATGGTACCTAGTCCCGACTGACGTGTTCTGCGCAGGATGCGGGCCTGTGCCGGCCGGCGGCCGCTGCCTCTTGAGAGGGAAAGAAGTCCGAGCAAGCATGACAGGCTGGAGGAGAACGAGTGAGCACGTTCGCGTCGCGGCCGGCCTCGTACTTATCCACGGCGTGATTTAGGGCCGTCCCGCTTGTCTCACGTTGCACCCTGGTCCGTGCGGTGTTGCGCACCGGGTCCAGGTCCTCGTTCGTTGTCCGGGAGCAGCTGCTGACCGAGCCGGGGCACGGGCATTACGAGACGACCGGAGGAGGACTCCGAGCCCGCTGAACGGCCCGGGCGCACCAACCAGAGGGTGACACGGGCAGCCACGGATCCAGGGAGACGGAGTGAGCGGGAAGGGGTTGCGTGCGGACGCACCGCGGGAGGAAGGCACGCAGCTACGCGGCGCGGTGCGTTTCACCGTTGGTGTCAAAATTTGCAGATGTGGAGATGTGTTCCGAGCCGCTTGGGATGGCGGGCGCTCGGTACGCGAACGGCCTGGGACGGACTGACCTCATTTCGAGTGGCCGCGGACATCGCCACAGCAGACGATGCGGACCGCCGAGTACGTTCTGTTCGCGTCGGCCAAGGCGGGATCCACGGCGGCGGGGTGCGATAGTCGTACGGCGGCCTTGTCGGATCGCTGTCTTACGTGGGCGGGAGGTGTGGGCTCATGACCGGGACACACGACGCCGTGCTGCGAAGTTCGGCGAGGAAGTCGTTTGCAAACTGGCCTTTTTACGCCTCCAGATATGCAATGTCCACATGAAGCCCATCGTGTGCGACATTTATCGCCGTAGCCTGTGTGCGCCGGGACGAGAGCATGTACGTGAAGCCTCGCGGCTTCACGGGCTCAGGCCTGGTGGCGGCGGGCGTCATCCAACGACCAGGAAGCTCTCGCGGACGATACAAATGGCACCAGAAGTATACAGACGCACAATTTCATGACATCTGATTTTGTGTCTGCGCCCGTGCCCAGATTTCATTCCCCTAGCATTTCTCAGATTCTACTGTGGTTGGCGCTGTGTACCCAACGTCGTATAGCAGATGCGCCCGAGATCGCCCATCCATGGAACTCAGTACCAATCCCACAGCCACCGGTCTCGTCTCGTTCACGTCCTCCACGAATGTGATCACTTTGTTTATTTGTGTACATTCTGCCCTGTCTTCTACTTCAGATTTTGTGCACGACTAGGTCTCTGTTCATCTAGCGTGGCCGGCCCGAAGCACGGTGCATACATACGATGCACGGGAGCATGTCGGAGTGTTGGAACATTGATGCCCTCCTGCGAGAGCGTCGATGGGG